CCCTCTCCTAGGATGCAGAGGAAGAAAAAGAGTAGCTGTTATCATCAGTTGGCTTTAAAACTTTTTTGTTGTTGTTTTGGGTTTTTTTTCCCTTTTGCTTCCTTTTCATGATCTATCTGATTATGTAGTTCTACACCTTCCATGTCACTTGTCAGATAAGACTGCAAGCACCTTTCCGCAGGAACTGTAAGCTTCTTTTGTTCTTTTTCTGTTTTTTTCTATGAGGCCTAGCAAGGCTCAATCTTGATGGGAACTACTCATGTACCACAAGCTTTTTTTTTTTTTTCTAATACAACCCGACTTACAGGTAATGCAAGTCAAGAGGCAACACAACATCCACCCACAGTTACCTTTTGATTCCATTTTGGCATTCTCAAAAACTTTGCTTACCGTAAAGAGACTTGTAGTAGAAAATGAGGAAAGATGTCCCAGTAGACCTAAGTGTGACACAGATACCAGAATTTCCCATTTATGTGTCATTTTGTGTGTATGGAAAATAGGTAATGCCCACTTTTAAAATCCTTTTCCAATCTATCAGTGCTTTTGCCTATTATTAAGGGTGGTCTTGTTCTGTTTTTCTAGAAACTAACATGGCATTACATTTATTCCAGGCAAAATACTACTGTACATTGATGTATTAAAAAAACCCCCAACTTTATCTGAAACAAATGACGTTAATATTACAGGATTGGCTAGAAATGTACAAAAAACCTCCCCACTCTCATTTCATTATATTGACATCTTCCATGTGATTTGCTCATACTTAATTTCTGAAACAAAGACATAACTAATTTGCTGGAAACTAATCGTTATTAACGTGATGCCAATATTATTTTGACTTCTATTATTTCACAAAAGTAACATAATTTCTTTGTCCATAAAGCTACTAATAGTGTCGTATTTTGACTCTTGGCCAGCACTGTTCTGTTCCCAGAATCTAAAAGAGCTAACAATTTTGGATGGGTATCCAAAGGATAAAACCAAGGCTAATTACCTCGTCAGTAAAACTCTAATATTAATATTATCCAAATTCTGTTGTTTTTATTTTAATTGAAGGAGATTAAATCAGTTTGAGTCCATTGCCTATGAAAATTTAGAGGCTGTTTAAATATTTAAGCATATAGTTTAAATGTTGAATGCCCCATGCTCTCAAGTAGTTAGCAAAAAAAAAAAAATCATTTTTTTTCCTCTCTCCATTTTCACATGGTCTTTGATTGGGACAGAAGAGAAGCAATCCTAATCACTGATAGCTGCTTTTTGTAACACTCAGTTGAGAGATCTCTCTGTGACCTGTCGGGCTCATTCTGTCTCTTCTCAACAGCTGGAGATTTGACTTCCTCCTGATACACACACATCCTTTCTTGAAAGCACTGCATATATTATCTTAAATAAATAATTTGGAATAGGTCAAGAATTCTGGGGCTCACTGGTATAAAAACCAAGTAGTTGCTTCAGATGTCCACTCACTGGAAAAAATTTAGCAGTTTAACCTTTGTTCCCCATTTTCACTTCTTCAGTCTATAGACAAAGTGAACTCCATCCCAACCACTGGGACCATTATCCCAGATGTCATTTTTGATTCCTCTGCATCTCTGGTCTAAGACATAGACACCATTTAGAAACTCTGCTGCTGCTGCTTCTTTAGTTTCTACTGAATGCATTCTCTTTCCAGCTGCCATAGCCAAATGTCGTTTTAGAACTTATGCCATATTATCTTCTCTGGTCTCCTATACAGACATGCTTTATGTATGTTTCTTATGTAAGATGTTTCTTCATCTTACAAATGGCTGCTCCTAAATTTTGCTCCATTGCCCACTGTTTTGATCCTATTATACCCCACTGAATCTTTCCAAAAGTTTCCAGTATAATATCATATAAAACTTAAGCTTTTAATTATTATTTTCAAAACCCAATCTCCAAATTATTCTCCCTTTTAAAATTCATCCTGCCTCTCATGCTTCATTTGTTCCACCAATGTTCTGAAGATTCCAGATAGTAGTAAAAAAAAATATACAGTTTCCTACAGAAAGTAAAGTACCCTAGACCTGCCCTTTGAGCACTCTATCACGTTGACATTTAAGTCTTTTTGAAGAATGACTTTTACAATGATGTGAACTTCTCTAGTAAGCCAGGTAGATGTGTAAACATGCAGTTCATATGCTTTTTATTTCACTTCTCCCCTGCCTACTTGTTTATCCTTAGATAATGAATTCCTCTGAGCATGACCTTGTCCTCATTCAGCCATGAAATGGGTGGTAATGGGCAACTTAGTAAAGGACGCTGCTGCTAATATGATTGAGCTATGCCTCGCCCTAATATGTGCTATAGCAGGTGTGGTGAGCTTTCCTCATCTGAACGTAACTTTCACATTATTAAGAATGGTATTCCAAGGACTGCATTCACTGGGAAAAGACAATGTAATTGGTAGCATTGCTAGATGGTGGCTCCAGAAGTTCAGATTGAGTCTTTATTCTTTACTTTCTCATCATACTCATTTTCCTGACGAAGGCAGCACTGAGCCCAGCTGATGCTGAGAACAGCAATATTTAGCATATATAGCCACCTTGGTGACTTAAGACCTATTACAGAGTTTAATGCTGCATACAGTCCAGATCATACAACATATTTTAAAATTAAGTCAGAATTTAAGAAGGATTGATGTGTTTATTGACCTATTGGAGCTTGCAATTTTGGTCAAATTTTCTTTGATCTTGGTATTATTGTTAAAACATTGAGGATAAGAATTATTTGATCTCTATGTGACTGTACCTCTAAACCAAATTAACTCCATTACAGCACTACTATGATTATTAATAATGTTATCTTTTCAATAACAGTGCAATTTAAGCTTCATTTAAAATTATGCCTTAGGAGTTCAAGAGGAGCAGCAAAGCCAATAAGGATCACATTAAGCCTCTTGTTTCAATGTGTGAGAAGCTGCATTTAAATTTTTCAAGCCAAGTCTTGGCATTAGCTTCAGGGAATTTGGCTCTGCTCAAAGGAACAGACTTCTGTCAATGTCAATAACAATCCTAAAGAGTAAAAACAGTGAACACAGAAGGCTGCACTGAACCTCTGAGTTAGATACAAACAGTGATCAAAGATTAACATTTATCTGAGCTTTCCATTTGTTTCTCTCACTGCACACATATTAACATGTATGCCATGGCTTCATGTTGCTAGGTACTCTAGCAATGGAACAGAACAGTAACAGGGTAAAAAAAAAGGAAATCCAAGTATATTTTAAATTGAACTCATGTCTCTGTAGAAAAATCAAAGTATCTATTTTTTGGTAAAAATCCTGGAAAATCTCAGCTGCACAGGTCACAGTCAAGCTGTATGTTAACTGTTCACAAGGCTTTGTCAGTTCCATATGAAATATTTCCTCATCTCCTAGTTTTAAAGTTTAAAGTACAATTTAGGTGACAGCATTACAGCTTTGACTATAGGAGGGAAGCAGAACATATAAGATGTCAGTAAATTTTAAACAGGAAGAAGTAAGCTCTTGTACATTCATCTATGACATGGATGCTTGTGAAAAAACTGAATTAGAGAATAAAGCTCTTCTTTTCTCCAAAGGGCACTGGAAACACAGCTAACTGTCTGAGCATCCCCACACAGGATAAGCAACCCTGATGTGAATGACCACATCAACTAAGAAAGCAGATGGTCATTTCTTCATTACCCACTCCCTGCTGGTTCTAGTGTTAAACGATGCATGTTTTTAATGTAGTTCTGTGGTATGGAAATACAAACTTACTACACTTTACTGCCAAACACATCTTCTTATAAAAGTAACCCTACTACTGAAGGTTAGTTGCTTCTGATGTTTAAAAAAATAATGGTTACACTACTTTGTGATTTTGAAGTAACCAAGGTAGGGGGGTTATCTTCTAGTTTTTGTAAGGCTGTTCCAAAATATTTCCAAATATTTTAAATTATCACCACTATAAAAAAATAGTCACTTGACACTATCCTTTACCCTTTAAATGTGAAAAAAGTGAAGAAACTGAATAAATAGTAATGTGATAGTGACAATTTGTAACCCATTGCCACAAAATGGGAGCACCCACGCAGAATTCTATGAAATGCTGGTTGCCCATAGAATACTTGCAGCTAATTCTTGGAAGGCTGGCTAGTCATACACTGCTGGCTTTAGTCCTTGTTTCCAGTTGTTACATCACATGAAAGACAACTAAAAATACATTAAATACTTCTCCATACAAGCAAGTTAAGCAAGTTAAAAGTGCTGCAGTAATGTTAGGCACTGAAAGTAGAAGTGTTGTGTGCAAAGTTATGAAGAGAAGCAAGGGAAAAAAAAAAAAAAAGATTACAATCTCTCTGCTAAAGTATGGTCTGTGATATGGCACAATAAAACCTTGACAAAATTCAATTTCAGTATTTCAGCATGTTTTGGAATATCCAAAACTGTATCAGATGCTTAAGGTCCCAGTCCAGTAACACACTCAATCACAGACCTAACCAATCTTCTGTTACAGTTTGGCCTATGCTTATGTACCTCACTAAAATCAAAACCCATATGCCAAGGATACAATGTACTGACAGCTACGTCAAGTTCTCAGAAGACAGTAATAGATGCTTCCTAGATATTAAGTGGTCTGTATGGAAATTTAATAGGCTAAAGGTGCTTCCTTATAAGGCTGGAAGGTGTAACTTATTTGTAATACAAATAAAATGTGCAAACATAAATTAATGGAATGTATAAACTGTGAGGTTAGAGTGAGCTGCAACTTCTGGAGTTTTTTGCCTGCCTACTTACAACAGTAAATTTATACTAGATTTGTATGATATTGAAGATTCATCTCACGCTTTCTTCATATTTCTGATTTTTATTTCTAGTTTGGTCTCAGTGTGACTACATGGCCTTATTGTTCCCTCAGCTGGGAGATTTGTACACTTCTGATAAAAACAATTCTTACAAAGAACTCAGCCTGCAAAACATAGTATGCTGTGGGGCACTAGTATCAAGGATGCCTCACCTTAGACCAGTCTCCCATTCTCCAGATGTAGCATTTGGAATAGTCCTCACAGTCCTCTGCTTCTTTCGGTCTTGTGGACAAAACACATTTCTTGCGGGGATTGGTGCACCTCACAGTCCGATGCCGTACTCCCTTACCACACTTTACAGAGCACTGTTGAAAAAAGAAGTTTTTCAGGTTTCTACAAAGTCATAGTTAACCCATTTTATCCCCTTCTAGTGACCTCTGCCAGGCTAACATGAATATTTCAAGACTTCAGTGATTTCCTGACTTCCAGTCTTCAATTGCATAAACACTGTATTTGTTAAAAACTACCAAATGAAGAAAAATCCTGTATGGGACTGAATGATAATTGCTGCATTTTCAGCTAAAAATATAGAATTAGATAAAAATTATTTGCTTAAGAAAAATATAGGCTTTTGGATAAAAAGGTATCATCTGAAAGTTACGATGAAGTGAATGCAAAATCTTATACTGAAAACAGTAGCCAATCTTTGTTCTACGAATGAAAAGAAATATAATGAAAGAAAATCTAAATCATGTTCATAAGAATAAGATATGAAGCAACTTTAGAAAAACTCCGCTAGTGTCTAATAGACCTTTTTTGGGGGGGAAAAATTAAAAATTAAAAAGTAAATAATCTAAAACTATGCAAGAATGCAGACTGAATTTGAAAATTCAGTCACTGCATATACAGCATGTGAAAACCTTCTTCAAGTTGCACAGAAGGTCTTAATCTATGTTTTTTTTCCACCATTCCCACTTACACTGCCAAAAATTATGCCATTTCCTTCTCAAAACATTATCATGGTTTTTGATCATCCCACTGCATGCAGATTAAAACCCATCTTTGCCAAGCTGATTATAACTGCAGGAAGCAGTAATGGCTAGCTTCCAATGTAATGGTGATAGTAGGAATGGCCATGGGAAACACCTCAGTCTTCAAAATATATTTATTGCTTCCAGCAAAAACATGCTCACTAATTTCTCATCTCTCAAGTAAAGCAAGCCAACTAAACAATATGGATTTCCTTCTCACACCTCTATAAGTGAATACCATTCTTCTCACAACTAGCCCTTGCATTATAAACCTCTGTGTACCAAACCAGGCTCTGCTGCTATTTACTTCTCTTATCTCTACCTCAGCATCTGCTTTTCATCTTTGAAAACATTCCCGATGTCTTAGCTCTTTCTTCCTTGGGGATAAAAGTGTGCTGCTGAGCAGAGGAGCCCAAAGAAGGGACTGCACTCACATTCAGAAGCTGCTACTTGTATTTTGAACCTAGAGGGACCCATAGCACAGTTGCTGGTATGGGAGGCAATCAGAATTGCCTTTGCTATTGCAATGGAGGGAGAAACTCCAAATAACCTTTTCAGCTTTTCCAGATGGCAGTGATAACAACACCCGTCTTCCTCCACAGTCAATTACTTTTAGACGTACTATAACTTTATAGAAGAAGAAAGCCAAATAAACATGCACATGAAAAGATCTTAAATGAGTAAAGCTTTTTGAATAATAATTACATTCTACAGCAATGCTTCAGGATGCAAGATGTGCAAAATTGTGTTATTTACAAACCCTTTTGCCCACTGCTTGTGCTCTTCTTGGAAAAAGAGGTGAAAAGGATGGGAAGGAAATGTTCTTCTTTGCAAGCAGCTCCCCTCATAGCCTCTCTGAAGCAAAATGGCAGCAACCACCTGCTGATCAACATCCCTTGGTACCAAAAGTATGTCAGAGATGTTCCCACTCCGAACCCAAGGTCTGGTAGCTGGTAAGTGATGGTTTTAATTCCATTTACCCCTAGTTACCCACTGTTATAGTCAGGACATGATTATATGTGCTTGAAAACTGGCTAAAAGTAACCGCTTCGGGACATTAACTGGGTAAAACGTAGTAGGTCTACACGATTGTTTTTTCTGGTCCCCGATCCCTTTCCCTGAGGACCGTGAAAATCATTAGGCTGAGCCATGTCACTTGCCACTGAAAAAATCATATTCCCAGAAAATAGTAAGGCATAAATAATCACTATGGACTATTTGTATAAGTAAATGCAGCACCTCGCTCCAGACTCCCGCCTCCCACACAGTCATGCAGTCCTGGCCTTCACAGCGCTGTGCAGAGGCAGGCTTTGGCCCAAGGCAATCCCTCTCCTTAGCTCTGATCAGGGTCCCGTTTCTGAGCTGCTGTGTGCAGGCTACTTGTCTGTTCTGGGTCCCTTTTCCACATGTCCTTGAACATGGAGTCCATTCTGTCATCATCCATCTGCAAAGAAATACAGGCAATGCAGTAAAACAAGAACAGAAAAGTACCATCACATGATCTTACTTTCTTGCTTACCAGTACACACACCCAAGACATACTTGCATATTTTCTGCCTCCTTTTAACTTCACTTTGTTAATGGGGTACTTACGAAACTAACATAGTTTACATTAAACAAGGTGTTAATGTTCATATAATTTCATTCCCCAGCCCACTGTCCCTACGTTTTCAGAGTACTCTCCTCTCATTATAATTCTCATTAGAAAAACTCCAACATATACAGGCATTTTAAAGATGACAGACCACTGATCAGCCTTTCTGTTATTCTCTATCTACATGACAATCTATACGTCAAGTGCATGCCGTGCACATAAAGTCCAGCATTCTTTGAAAATACTCAGTTGCATGACAGAATCAATCCTGTGTGAAAGGCTCGTTGCTCTGGAGGAAGTATAAAAGCTCAGACACCTTCATGTTCTTTACGATCAGGTCTAACTCAGGTTACATGGTATAAATCCCAGCAGCAAAGAAGGCTGACGCAGCTTGGCAGAGCTCACATACCTGGAGAGCAATTGTTCTAGAACAGAATTTTCCCCAAATGTTCTATAGCCCCACACTATGGCCATGTGCCCTGAAAAATCAAACAACTCTGCCACTGATGCCATACACAAGTGTAACCCAGGAGACTTAGATTGCAAGGGAGAGTTTTTTAGGAAACTGAGATTTAACAAATCTGTTCCAACCTTCAGTCACATATTTGTTGTAAGAAAACAAAACATTTAACTAAGGTTTTTTTCATTATCAGTCCAGAGACTCAATTTACAAATCACAGCCTGTCAAGATAATCTAACAGATTTTAAGATAATTCTTCAAGTGCCAATAATAAACAACTAGTTATGCAAGCATATGCTTCAGTTACATTTCTGTTGAAAGCTGACAATATTTGTTTTGTAAGAATCGTTAACACTGTATTAAAAACTGGATGTATGTTTAGGATCATGATATCTTTCTACATTTCTCAGCACAGCATCTCTCAGTAGCAATTAGCAACATTTAAAATGTTTCATTTGATAAGCTCAAAAAAGTACAGAACATTGAAAATATAAGTTGACAATGCCCCAGAAAAAGACCAGACTCTTCCATTTCCATCCATTAAGTATACAGTGATGTTAATAAAATAAAATAGAGATTTGCTCCAGCATGTCTATAATGAGATACAAATGATCCCTCCAAAGTGTAATGCTCTAGTCTGGGGAAGTCCAAACCTCAGTGGTTTGGTCTTACTTAAAATGTATCATACCTTGCCATTTTATCAATTTCAGTATTTCATCCTTCCAAGAAAGTTATGTCTCCTGGTTCATTTTATGTGCTTTCTTCAACAATATTTGCATTTTATTTACTTTGCATTGTTTTTGTTTTAAAATACCCTCTACTGTTCCTCCAGATGACGGCAGTGACGAGTCACTGCGCCAGCCTGGACAGCCAGTGCAAGGAGCAGGCTGCCAGCTCGGCTGCAGGGAGACCAAATGGGGTGGGCTTTGCAGGGCACAAGCTGCATGCTGCTGCTGCCTCCTGGGGGGAAATTCAGAGAAAAAAAAAGCTCCTCTTGCTTCCACCATTCCAACATCAGAGTCCAGCTCTGCCTATTGATCCACATACAAAGGGATGGGGGCAGAGGGAGGAGAGGAGCAAGGGGAAGGCTCTCTATACTTCAAGTTGCATCAGTGGAGAAAACCCAATTAGCGGTTTTTAAAATATACTTATTTGTTTGCTACTTCGTGCATCCAGAGTTTACTGAGAGGTTTTAAAGTAGTGAAGTCTTGATTGAACAAAACACTAAAATGTATGATTAATTAAAAGCATGGGATTAAATCCATCTTTATATAAATGGCATTTAAATTTTAATTTCATAGTACATATCAGTCTGTGAGAATACTTACTGAGGAAAGCAATGAGCTGCTTTATTGAATAAGAATTGATTCAGACATAATGTTTAAGGGCTCTCTTTCATTAAAACTCAGGAGAGACAACAGCCAGTGTTTCTGTTTTCCC